GTGTGCCTATATGTGTGCTAAAGCCATGGAGCTTATGAAATCTGAGGTAATCTTGGCTTATTTTTTTTTTTGAGTTGGAGTCTTGCTCTGTTGCCCAGACTGGAGTGCAGTGATGCGATCTTGGCTTATTGCTACTTTCACCTCCCAGGCTTAAGTGATTCTCCTGCTTCAGCTTCCCAGGTAGCTGGGATTACAGGCACGTGATTCCACGCCTGCCTAATTTTTGTATTTTTAGTAGAGACAGGGTTTCACCATGTTGGCCAGGCTGGTCTCAAACTCCTGACCTCGAATGGTCTACACACCTTGGCCCCCCAAAGTGCTGGGATTACTTGACCTCCCAAAGTGCTGGGATTGAGCCATTGCACTTGGCTTAATCTTGGCTTGTAAGAAGTTTAAGATCTTGAGGTCAGGCAAGAGGGAGTGAAGGGATGATACATTATTTATAGCCACGCAATCAATTATACCAAAAGTTTTAGTGGCTTAAAATGGCACGTCTTTTTTATCACAGTTGCTGAGGGTCAGGATTCTGAGTTTGGCTTAGCTAGATCCTCTGATTCAGGGTCTTTGACAAATGCTGTCAAGATGTTGGCCAAGGCTGCAGTCTCAACTGAAGTCATGGGGGGCAGGGTTGAGGATCTGCTTCTAAGCTCATTCACATTAATTGGTTGGATTTAGTTGCCTGCCAGCTGTTGGACTGAGGGCCTCCATTTCTTCCTGATAATTGTCTTTGTCATGTGGACCTCCCCATAAGGTGGCAAGCTATATGGAAGCCAGAGTCATTTTGTAAATTAACCTTGGAAGTGACATTTTGTGTGTGTGTGTATTTATTTATTATTATTATTATTTTTGCCATATTCTGTTCAGTAGAGGCAAGGCTCTGGTAATGAGTACTAGGAGGTGTGGAGATCATTAATAGAGCTGTGTTTTTTTGTTGGTGAGTTGAGGGTATGGGGAAGAAGAAAAAGAAGGTATAAATTTTTATTTCTTACAGTGTATACTTAAGAGTAGGAGCCAGAATCACACAGCAGGGTGAGAAATTTCAAAAGCAAAGTTTACCACTAGGAAGCTATATGATGTCTTAAAAGAGAAGAACAGCAAAGCATCTGAATTAATGGAATGTAACAAAACTTTAAACATTGAAAGGGTATTTTTCTGTACTTTTAGGTTGAAGTTTTATCTTAATTTTCTAGTCAGTATTTTTGTACACTGACTTGGTTGAAAATATTCATGGCTGAAATTATATTATTTCTTTTTACCTATTCTTTTTGAAAGATGGGAAGACTTATTCTTCTAATTGGCTAATAGATTTCAAAGTTCATATGCTTCTTGTAATGTGCTAAACTCATACATTGTGTAGTAACAAAATTGGAGTAGTTTAAAATAATGGAACAGTAGCTGCTGTTCTATTCTTCATCCTTGTGTGTGCATGTCTGTGTGTGTCTGTATCTATAGTTTGATGTCTAAAATGTTTCCCACAGATTTTGTCTTTCATGTAATTCTTTGAAGAAAGTTGAGATTCTTTTTGAAGAAAACAATTCCTGCAGTATTAATTTTATGAATAAGTTTCTTCCTACTGCCTTAAAATCTGATATTGTAGACATGTTTTTGTTATAAGTTAACATTATATTTTCAGTAATGAAATCTTTTAAAATAAACCTTGGTTATTTCTAAAAAGAATATAAATTTCAGCAAATAAATTATTTCCTCTTAGCTTTAAATTAAATATAAAGTATAATGTGGAAATAATAGAAAATATGTGAAGAGGTAATTTTGTGGAACTCTAATATCATTGATAGTCAGGATCTAACTTTCTTTTTTGAGTAGAGTGGTTGCAAGTCCAGACCTGGAAGCAGACTGGCTGCTTTGAGTCCCATTTCTGCCTCTCCCTATAGTATGTTCTTAGTCAAATTAATTCACTTCTTGTGTCTCAATTTCCTATCTGTAAAATGGGGACATTAATGGTACCTCCCAAATAAGTTTATTGAAGAGATAAGTGAATTAATAAAGGCAAAGCACATAGAACTGTATATGACACTTAGTAAGTACTATATACATATACTAAATTTTTACTATTAGTAGTAGTATTGGTATCACAATACTGGCTTAGTAATTACTTATGTCATTTAATTGTCTCTTGGGTTTAGGTCTTTCATAATGTAAATCAAGAGATTTGGATTTTTTATGACTAACTGGGGACTTGTTAGTGTCTGTTGGATAGTAATCCACTGATACATTTTTTCTCATTGATTTTGTTAGGATTTTTTGTGCCTACTGTTAAACAATACTCTGAAATATAGGGTCTCAAATATTTATAGACAGTTGTAGAGTGCATTCTTCTGAAACAGTTGGTTTTAATTTTTTCAAGTAACATTTGCTTTATCTTTGTTAATTAGCCTTTCATATTACAAGAAAGAGAGCATTGCTTGAATTTTTTTCTGTGCTGCTTAGCAGCAGGCCAAGTCTTCATCAGTATGTGGCCAGCTGGAGTTGCACACACAAAGCAGGTTCCTATCCTAGATACTCTCAATCTTACTAGTTTGTTAATCTTTCTTTTCTTCTTTTTTTAAGAGATAGTGTCTCACTCTATTGCCCAGGCTGGAATGCAGTGGCTCAATAATAGCTCACTATAACTTTGAACTCCTGGGCTGAAGTGATCCTTCTACTTCAGTCTCCCAAGTAGCTGGAACTATGGGTGCACACTGTTATGCCTGGCTAATTTATTTTATTTTTTATTTCTTGTGGAGACAAAGTCTCACTTTGTTTTGTCCAGGCTGTTCTCTGACTCCTGGGCTCAAGTGATCCTCCTGCCCTTGCTGAAGTGCTAGGATTATAGGCCTGAGCCACTGTACCCAGCCTGTTAATGTTTCTTTGTATTTTCTTCTGTCTCCACAAGCTTTTATAAGTTTTACAAGTTTCTCTGTCTCCCTTGTGGTTCTAAGACTACGAAATTGTGCGTTCTCATCGTCTTTAGCATTCTTCTGTCTCCAGGTGTGTTACAGAGAGGGACAGGTTCTTTTTATCGCCTGAGTCACATTTATTGAATTTGGCAGATTCTATACTTGTTTAAGTAAGAGGCATTCATGATTAAAGTCAAATAGTACCACAAGAATTATTGAAAAAAAATTACTTCCACTGTTCCTAAGCACACACATGTAGTAGGTACCTTCTCTAAAGTACTTTTCTACATATCATTGTATTTAACTTAACGCTTTTCCCTATTTTAAGAGATTTTTTTTATCCTCTAGAATGACCCAACAGATTTGCTGAAATGTTTTCTTTTCTTTTAAAACATGCCATCTTGCTTTTGATGATCATTTAGACTGACGATTTTCTTTGGTGAATCAGATCAGTTATCCTAGACTGCGTTTGTACTTTGCACATGAATGCAGATGTTGTAGGATAAAGAGTTTAATAGTGCCATATTGATATTTTTACCTTTTATTTATTATTGCTATTTCTTGGTAAGATGAATGCAACAGAACTATGTGGTCTTTAGAGGAAGTTTTGCTTTTCTGCATATTTGGTGCTGCTGCATTCCAGATGGTTTTCTTGCCTTGCAGAAAATAACTTTGTAGGCTGACGTTATTTGCATCTGCTGTTTGTCAGTGGCATTCACAGTGTTTTTGTTGTATTCCTCAATCTCTCAGCCATTGTGGCAGAACCTAATTGTAACTAGCAAGCGGAATTTTTTCCCTGATTCTTAGCAATATTTCTTTCTTTTTTTTATGGAATGGCAAAGGAGGTAAGTTTCTAATTTGGTCTACTGGTGATAGTGGTTGGTTAATTGAAATGAAGTTTGGTATCCTTAAACATGACATATAACTTTAAATACTTATTATTTATTTATTTTTGGAAGCTTTAACTGATTTTCTTTTTTTCTTTTTTGAAATAGGGTCTTAACTCTGTCACCCAGGTTGGAGTGCGGTGGCACGATGTTGGCTCAAGGTACCAGGGATCCTCCCATCTCAGCCTCCTGAGTAGCTGGGACCACAGGTGCCCGCCACCCTGCCCAGCTAAGTTTTGCATTTTTTGTAGAGATAGGGTGTTGCTATGTTGCCCAGGCTGGTCTTGAATTCCTGGGCTCAAGCAATCCACCTGCCTCAGCCTCCCAAAGTACTGGGATTACAGTCGTGAGCCACTGCGTCTGGCCCAGAAATTTATTTTCTCATATTTCTGAAGGCTGGAAGTCTGAGCTCAATGTGCTGGCAGGGCTGGTTTCCTCTAAGGCCTCTCTTGTTGGCTTGCAGATGGCCGCCCGCTTGCTCTTCATATGGCCGTTCCTCTGTGCATTTGCTCCTGTGGTGCCTCTCACTCTTTAAATACTCTAGTCTGTGTTATATGTGTTAATTCTCCAGTCTTTTGCTGTAAAGCTTTTTCTTTAGTGTTAGTCTGGTGATGAAAGCTCTATATTCTTTTTCTTCCTAAAGCATGCCCCAGCATAAGTCGAGAGAGCACTTAGACATGTGCAAAGCATTCTGAATACAGAACTCTGCTAGACTTGTATGATCCTTTTAGTGCCTACCTTGATAAAAATTTCTCAAAACATTTAACTTAATTTTTATAGGATTTCTGTATACTCACATCATATCAATTTATATAACACTTAGGTTGCAGACTTACAAGTACATTTATAGTGAATACATTTGGTCACAAACAAAGCTGATTCTCTTTGTTTGTTTTGAGACAGAGTCGTGCTGTGTTACCCAGGCTAGAGTACAGTGACATGATCATGGCTCACTGTGGCCTTGAACTCCTGGCTCAAGTGATCTTCCCACCTGAGCCTCCCAAGTAGCTAAGACTACAGGCACATGCCACCGTGCCCAGCTGATTTTTTAATTTTTCATTTCTGTAGAGATGGGGGTCTTGCTGTGTTGCCCAGGCTGTATAGCTGATTCTCAAGCACCATCTAACCTCTGGGAGCAGAACAGTGCAGAGCAATTAGAGTAGTTGAGAAACTCTGAGCATTCAGAGTGCTAGTGGTATGGTTTATGGATGGGAAGGGTAGGAGTGGAGAGATTGTCCATTTGGGTGTTGGAGGTCCGAAAAGGAAGCTTTCACCGTCGTATTTCAGAGCTCTTACACCAAGTTTACAGATTTTTACTTTTCACCCTTAGTATCACGCACCACTTTTCAGGCCACGTCTCTCACAGATCTTTAATTAGGACAGATATATTGCCAATCCTTCATGAGTTTAGCACCTGATATTGGTAGAGGTGATATGTACAATATATTGTGAGAGCACAGAAAATAAGTTCTTGTTTTGAGGGGAGTATAAAAACTTTCAAGAAGAGATGACTTTCTAAATTCTGAAGTATAGGCCAGAGCTAGAAGGTATCTGGGAAGAGGAAAATGGGGCAGATAATGTGGTCAGGAAGAGGGGAAGGCATGTACAAAATTGTGACTACAAGAACATGTACAGCATAACTGTTCTTGCTATAGCTTTGGACTGTTTTGAACACCAATGTGCTCCCAGCACTAGGATGGTAGAATAATGTCTGGGTTACATTACATGCTTAGTAAGTATTTTAAAGTAAGAATGAATGTTGAGGAAGACAGAGGCCAAACCATAGTGGACCCTGTACGTGATGCTGTGAAGCCAGCGTTTATCCTGAAATGAGTCTTTGAGGTATCTTAACCAGAAGAGTGACATGATCAAATTTTATTTATAAAAATATCCCTCCCAAATCATTGGGAAGGGAGAATATGATTGCAGTGAGAGATACCGTTAAGGAGACTATTGAAATAGTTCAGTTGAGGAACTAGGGAAGGCCCAAATTAAAGCTTTTGAGCATTGTGAACAAAGGGTACTGATGCATTGTAAGAGTCTTTTGGAAATAGAATTGACAGGCCTTGGTGACTGTGTGTTTGGAGCAGTGAGGGTAAGGGAGGATTCTGGAGTGACCCCTACATTTGTAGGATGATTTCAGAGGGGTGGTGTTGGTGCTTTGGACTAGGAAAAAGTTCTTGATTTTTAACACAATATATGGCATGTGGTATTTATTGTTCACTTTCCTATTTGAGAAAAATATGTTTATTATTCCTATCTGAATGTACAATCTTTATTTTTTTATTTTTTATTTTTATTTTTGGAGACAGAGTCTCACTCTGTCACCCAGCCTGGAGTGCAGTAGGCACAATGTTGGTTCACTGCAACCTCTGCCTCCTGGATTCAGGCGAATCTCACGTCTCAGCCTCCCAAGTAGCTGGGACTACAGGTGTCTGCCACCACGCCCAGCTAATTTTTTGTATTTTTAGTAGAGACAGGGTTTTGCCATGTTGACCGGGCTGATCTCGAACTCCTGATCTCAGGTCATCCGCCCACCTTGGTTTCCCAGTGTGCTGGGAATACAGGTGAGAACCAGCATGCCCGGCCCACAATCTTTTATAACTGAGATGATCTCGCTCACTTTTATTATATGCCAGGACCTGTGTTATAAATGTGAACAATATTTGTGGATTTGAGTTGAAACCTAACTCAGTTGTTTACTCCGAGCCTTTTTAATGTTTGAAATGCCATAAAAGTGTAGACTTAACCCAATAAATTGACATCAGAGAATAAGGTAGAAATTCTGTCTTTAAAATTTCAAACTTTATAGTGTCATTTCTTTATATTTTATCTTCTGAATAAATGACATCTTAGTTCATAGAATGACTCATTATCATAACAGACGTGATGCTAATTCTCTTTCTTTAGGATATATTCTCTTAAGTGGTTAATAGTATCGTAGAGGTTATTGTGCATAGGTTGATAACTCACCACAGAATAGGCTCTATGCTGCACATAGGGCATTCAAGAAGGAATGACATATTTTCCATTTTCAAAGATAGTGAAGACATGTTTCTAAATAAGTGAGGTGGACCATGACTTTCAGTGTTGATATATTCTAATACTTTACAGCATATCACATATTAACTGTGGGAATATTATTAAAATGCTAGGTGCATCCATAATTTTTTTCCTCCTTTTGATTGCCCCCTCCTTTGCATCTTCTCTATCTGCATATCCTTTCTGCTGTACTTCCATCATACATCCCCAGTGCTTTCCTGTCCCTCCTTTTTTTCTAGTCTGGTATTTGTGCTTCTGTTCTTGATTTCTCTGCCACCTCCTTGAATTTTTTCTCTACATAGTAGCTACAATTATGTTTAAAATGTAAGTCATGTTCTGCTTAAAGCCCTTCCTTGGCTTCCCAGGTTACACTTGGAGTAAAACTCAAGTCCCTTCCCGTTCCTTAAATATTGCTTCCTCAGAGAGTCTTGGCTGTTGAGAGATTAATCAATACTCTGAGAACTCAGAGAAAGGGGCAATTAGTTCTGGCTTTGAGAATCCCCAGAAAGAATTAATAAGAGGAATAGTGTTTGATCCAGGTCTTGATGAGTAGGATTTTGTTAGATTATAGTATGTGCTGAAAAAGCATTTAAAGAGTGCCTACTATGTGCTGTGCACTGTCATATTCATGCTTTCTTTGACAAGTAATGATGAATAAGTGGTATCTTTTTCAGGCTAGAGTGCAGTGAGATGATCTTGGCTCACTGCAACCTTTGCCTCCTGGGTTCAAGCAGTTCTGTCCCAGCTTCCCAAGTAGCTGGTTCTACAGGTGCACGCCAACATGTCCAGCTAATTTTTGTATTTTTACTAGAGTCGCGGTTTCACCATGTTGGCCAGGATGGTCTCAATCCCTTGACCTCATGATCCAACCCCTCGGCCTCCCAAAGTGCTGGGATTACAGGCGTGAGCCACTGCGCCCGGCCAATAAGCGGCATCTTTGAAAAGAGGTTGATATTTGTTAGCAGCTTGGTTTTACTGCAGTCTCAATAAATAGTATATACAAGACTAGCCCAGCAATCCTTAGTCTGCTTAAATACCAGGAACTGCTTCATTCACTGGTACCTATGAGAATAGAACTTGGCAAGTGTTGTCATCACATATACCTGCTGAGTCAACTTGACTATAGTCAGAAATGAATTACCTGACAAAACCACAAGATTGTAATTTGGTATTTTGGTTTTTAGACCTTCCCCCCCCCCTTTAAACCAGCCATCTCTAGCCTTTTAATGTCATATTTTATTTTAAAATACCAAAATTAACATGAGGAGATGATTGTAATTAACTATATATATACCAATTACATTGGGTCGTAAAAATGAAATTTTTGTTTATAACTAATTTAGTGCCTGATCTTCACAAAACTACAGCTTGGTAATTTACTAATTTAATCTTTTGCGTAGTTGCTTCACTGACTCAGAATCTTGAAGACTTTGACTGGGTATTCATTTTGAGGCTTGTCATGATGCAGATGGGATGGCAGTAAAATGATGCACTGCTCTATTATTTGTTCACCAGTGTCCATGCAGCAATACTGTCTCTTGTGGCTAAGTAAGGCCAGCCATATTTTAAAGTAGGCCCTTGGCTAAGCATTTCACTGGACCAGGGAGAAATGGGGGAAAAAGATCTACACATAATACAGGGAATTGTCTAGGAAGCCCAAGTTATTGCATTTAATGATTTATCTTTGTTTTGAAATATTCCTATTTTTAGATTTCAAAAATACCATTTTAAATAAGTTACGTTGGTCCCCACTGCCGCCCCATTGCATACCTGGCAAGTAGCCCAAAATATTGGCAGCCAATTCTGTATTGATTTATCTTGTCTGCTTTTGAAGTTCATGGCTCCATGAAGTCTGAAACTGCTTACCACCAATTTATTTTGTGCATCACACCTGTAATAGGATTTAGTATGTGAATGGCTTTTTTCCTTACTTCAGCAGTCTCTTCTTCACCAACTAGGTGTCCGACAATTCAATTCACTCTGACACTATGCAGAGTTAACATAGACCCCATAAGTTAAAGGCTCAGTCCCACAAAGCTGTCCCTACTTCAGATTCACTGCAAATGGAGTGCCCAGGCTATCCACATCTACCTAGCCAACTGCAAATTCTGAGGTTCCTGAAACCACCCAACACACATTTGATAATTTGCTAGAATGATTCCCAGAACTCAGCAAAGCGTTTCACTATTACCTGTTATAAAGGATATAGTTTAGGAATAGCCAAATGGAAGACAGGTATAGGGGTCTTTTCTACCCTTTCCAAGTGCAACTCTCCCAGCACCTTCATATGTTGATCAACCCCAAAAACCCTCATTCAGGGTTTTTATGGCAGTTTCATTACATAGGCATGACTGATGAAATCATTGGCCATTGTGATTGAACTCCATCTCTAGCCTGCCTCCCTTCCCCAGTTGTCGTTGGGGGAGTAGTGGGGTAGGAAGTGTGGGCCAGAGTTCCAGCCTTCCAATCATGCCTTGATGTTTCTGGCCACTTGGCCCCATCTGAAGCCATCTAGGAGCCACTCAGCCAAGAATCATCTCATTAGTATACCAAAGACACTTTGAGGAGCCCTGTGCTAGGAACCCAGGACCCTAGACCAAATACATTTGAACCTTGAACAGTAGAGTAAAAAAGGCAAGTATAGGGGTGGAGGAGGTTAGGGATTCTCATCCTCAAGTGCAACTTTTTTTTTTTTTTTTTTTAGATGGAGTCTCACTCTGTTGCGCAGGCTGAAGTACAGCTGTGTGGTTTCAGCTTACTGCAACCTCTGTCTCCCAGGTTCAAGCAATTCTCATGCTTCAGTCACCTGAGTAGCTGGGACCACAGGTGCATACCACCATGCCTGGCTAATTTTTGTATTTTTAGTAAAGATGGGGTTTCATCATGTTGGCCAGGCTAGTCTCAAACTCTTGACTTCAAGTGATATGCCCACTTCAGCCTCCCAAAGTGCTGGGATTACATGCGTGAGCCACCATGCCTGGCCCAAGTGCAACTTTTGACTCCCCAAAAACTTAACTACTAATAGCTTGCTGTTGAGTGGAAGCTTTATAGATATCCATAAATAGTCTATCAACACATACTTTGTTATATGTATTTTATACCATATTCTTAAAGTAATCTAGAGAAAAGAAAATATTAAGAAAATCATAAGAAGGAGAAAATATATTTACTATTCATTAAGTGGACATGGGTCATCATAAAGATCTTCATCCTTGTCTTCATGTTGAGCAGGAAGGGGATGGCTTGGCCTTGCTGTCTTAAAGAGGAGAAGGTGGGAGAGGTGAAGGAGGTGGAAGGAGAGGCAGGCACCACTGGGTGTAACACTGGAAAAACTACTGAGAAGAAAAATACGTGTGGATACAAGTGGATCTGCACAGTTCCCATGTTGTTCATTGGCCAGCTGTACTTTTTATTATATGACAGGATATCTCTAGTGAGAAGAGGTCCTCAGATGCTGTGGAAAGGAATGAGAGGATTCAGTTGCATTTGTCACTAAACCCCAGCAGGCAGTGCCATCCCTTCCTTGCTTGGCCTTGATGTGGCTTCTCTGAGTGCCTAATGTCTTTTTGTTGTTGTTAGATGGAGCCTTGCTCTGTCACCCAGGCTGGAGTGCAGGGGCACAATTGTGATACTCGTGCTTCAGCCTCTCGTAGCTGGGATTACGGGTGCGTGCCACCACACCCAGCTAATTTTTGTATTTTTAGTAGAGGCAGGGTTTCACTATGTTGGCCAGGCTGCTCTTGAATTCCTAATCTCAGGTGATCCACCTGCCTCAGCCTCCCAAAGTACTGGGATTATAGGTGTGAGCCACTGTGCCCCACCAGTGCCTAATGTCTTCTAGGACTACACAGTTATTTGGGTTTAGCCAGTCCCTTCACATATGTGTGTCACATACCCACATGGCTGTTACTGCCTCAGCTCTTACCCTTATCTTATTTTTTCCTCTATTTTCAGTTTTGTTTAGAATTGGATTTGTATCCTTAACACATTTTGAAGGTTTTTTTCATTCTCCATCAGAAAACTAACCAACTAATTTTTTGCATTTTTGGCCTTTCTTGGCTACTTGGATATGTTCATTTGGAGAAAAAAAAGTAGAGGAAAACTTTGGGGTCATTAAAGCTAACTTTTCTTGTTTTAGATTTTTTTTTGGAGACGGAGTTTCGCTCTTGTTGCCCAGGCTGGAGTACAATGGTGTGATCTTGGCTTACCACAACCTCCGCCTCCCAGGTTCAAGTGGTTTTCCTGCCTCAACCTTTCGAGCAGCTGGGATTACGGCGTGCACCACCACACCCAGCTAATTTTGTAGAGACAGAGTTTCTCCATATTGGTCAGGCTGGTCTTGAGCTTGCAACCTCAGGTGAATGCCCGCCTTGACCTCCCAAAGTGCCGGGATTACAGGTGTGAGCCATGGTGCCCGGCCCTTGTTTTAGATTTCTTATACTTAAAAAAAAATTTTTTTGAGGCTTGAAGTGACCTATTTACAAAATTAGGTATAGCTTTAGATTATGTGATCTTACTGACACTTCTTGAAGAGACATTATTTCTTGAGTCTTGGAAACAATGTACCTTGAAAACTGGAAAATAGTGTCCTGTATTATTCTAGATTTGTTTATTGAATTGTTCTTTACATTTAGCAGTAAATTTGTTGCTTGAATTGTAAGCTATAAGAGGCACTTTGCCTTAGCTTGTTTCATGTAATCTTTCCATAGGGTTATGTAAATGTCATCACATAAAAAAGATTTCTGTTGTGAATGATGGAGAGATCTTTCAGCTGCTGTACTGACAAATGCCTTTTAATCTATCTTTTAAAAATAATTCAAGTTTTACTCATCAGCTTGTTTTTATTTCCAGAAGTATTTTACCAAAAATGTCTGTGCAGCATAAAAATGTAGACATTATTGTCGGATTTGCTGCGCAAATCCTGTTACAAGTTAGTTTTTGTAAACATTTTTCTAATGGAAAATTATACATAATTATCATCTGTTGTTCTGAAACAATTTTATTACTCAGTGTTGTGACCTCTTGAGGCCCTCAGTGATCTTCTGTCATCAAGGACAAGAATAAAACACATGCCATGTCCTGCAAAGTTGCATTCATTATCCCTCTTGAATGGGTTAAGAGGTGGGGCAGCGACAAGCAAGGGGGGAGAGCATGAAGGTGACTTTTTGTTTCTGAGGATTTTTGGGAATGAACCTACATGATTTATTGTTTAAAATCTTTGAGATAAAATTGGTAGAAAAAATGATACTTTTGTGAAGGATGTGGTTGCAGGAGCTACTTCAGAGGATTTCCATTAATGACTGTTAAGTCATCAGGAGTATCAGAAGGTTTGTCTGTATTGATGTTGAGTTATTTTAATTGGGTTAATAGCACAGAGTTGATGTGCTTATTCTAATATCCTAGAATATTTGAAAGATGAACCCATTGCTTAAGATGAAATTGATATCATCTTTATATTTGAAATATAGAGATGGGGTCTTAATATGTTGCCCAGGCTGGTCTTGAACTTGTGGCCTCAGATTATTCTCCCACCTTGGCTTCCCAAAATGCTGGGATTACAGGCATTGAGTCATTGTGCCCAGTGTTTCTATTTTATTTATTTGTGTATCTCAGTCTCACTTGGTAACAAATAATTGAGATAGATGAGTCTAATATTTAAAGATTCTATGATAGAATTGGCCTTTTCCCCTTTAATATTTATCTGTGGATGTTAGAATTTAAAATCTAGTGGGGATCTTTAAAAATTATCTCATTTTACATTTTCATTTTAAAATGAAGAAATTTGAAGCATAGGATGTTATCTTGCCCAAGAGGAATGAGGAATTTAGTTACACTGCCATCCATTGGTTGTTAGCGGCTACTCCATGTCCCAAGGGGCAGATGGTTGATTATCACACTTTGTTACAGACCTTGAAGAAAGCCTGAGGATAAAAATAATTTTCTTAGTAAAAGTGTTATCACAGATCACCAATATACTAAACATGTATGCAATTACACAAATAATGATTAATTTACACTTGTATTAGGTTGGTGCAAAAGTAATTTTTTACTTTTTTGACTTTTTATGGCAGTTTTTGCCATTAAAACAGCAAAACGTGCAATTATTTTTGAACCAACACAGTAGTTATATTCAGTTTAGTGCATGTATTTGATACTCAAATTTAGAAGAAACCGTTTCTTCTGTTGCTTATCTAAGTGTTCTTCATGGATCCTGCTCTCCTTTTGGTCTCCTAATGTATTTTTTTGATTTGTCTTCACTATTGGACTCTCCGCATAAAGGCAGGAAGCCCCTGTCTTGTCCATTGTTGTTTCCAGACCCAGTAGCAGCACGGATTGTTGACTGACTCCCAGGTTTATGTGGCTCTGTGGAACACTTAGCATATTTTAAATATCTTAAGTTTGAATATTTTATTTATTTTTATTTTTTACAGTGAACAGAGTATCTGTCAGGCAAGAGCTGCTGTGATGGTTTATGATGATGCCAATAAGAAGTGGGTGCCAGCTGGTGGCTCAACTGGGTTCAGCAGAGTTCATATCTATCACCATACAGGCAACAACACATTCAGAGTGGTGGGCAGGAAGATTCAGGACCATCAGGTAAGGCTCTACTACAATTCTTCTTAAAGATGATCTAGTATTACAAAGGAACTTGGTATATTCAGTAAAATAAAATAGTTTTAAAACTCTAATCAAAATAGTCTCTCTGGGAAAAACTGAAAATAAAATTATCTCTCTACCTTTTCTACCTTTTATGAAGCCTCAACTTAAATGAAGATTTAGAACAAATTGTACAAAAATAGAAATATGAGTTCTTCTATGATGAACCTTCATTAGATTTTTCTGGCCTTCAATTAGTTTTTGAAATGTAAAGCAAATTAAGGACCAGCAGAAATGAAACTCTACTCAAGTGGCAGATTGCATGTTTATGGGATTCATTTCCTGACAAAGTTTTGGGTATGGGGTTAGGGGAGGGAGTTAAAAGTGTAGATAGTTTCAGAAAATATTGTTAAATTCATATATGATAGAAAAATAGTAGGTATTGAGGTTGCTGGAATAGTTCGACTTTTGCAGTTCATGTCTGGGGCGACAGCTAAGCTTTTACTAATACCTTGCTCTGGATTTCCTAGAAAGTAGCTGGATTATCTGATTACTTGATTTCTTGGGCCTTAACAGATCAAGAGCAGGAGACAGAGGAAAAAGCAGATAAGGTCTTACTAGCATTAACTGTATACTAATAGTAATAGCTTTTATAGAGGATAGATTTGCAAAATACTTTGGGAAAAAATTAAAAAATTTTTACCAAAGATATTGGAATCAACTTACTTTAAAAATCATCCTGCTACACATGCAGAAAGAATGTAACACATTTTCTCCTTCATTGCCCAGCTGCGCTTTTTTAAAGAGTGTAGGTTCCTAGGTTTCCCCTACCTTGCATGGTAGTGTGGTGTAAACAGATGCTGCATTCTTCCTGGGCTTTAGGATGGTGATTATGGATTTGTCATGCATGCATATAGGGACTGTGGGCCTATGAGAGGTTGGGCTGTGAAACTGGTTTTTGTTAAAAAATAACATAGGAATTTTAGAGGGGTTACACCCCATAGAAAGAGAACTAAGAGAAATCCTCCTACAAGCATAGGCAAGCAAAGGAGTTTATTTCTTTCTTAGCTGGCTTAGAAGCTCCCCCGAGAAATGAGAAACTCCTTCACTTAAGTAACTCCAGCCAAGAAACTAGGATACACTGGTTGTAGAGCAGTGAAATTCTTGGGGCACGTGGTAAAAACAAATGCACTGCCCGCATGGAGAGGAACTTTCACAGCTCTGAGTCAGTCTGTAGAAAGAGCAGTTCACTGAATTTACCATATTTATCCATTTATACAGTGGGTTTCGGCCTGCCACTCTTTCTGCTCTCTAGCTGCTTTCTCTCTGTCTCTCCCTTATTCCCTGCCCTCTTACTCTCTTCTTCTTCTTCTTTTTTTTTTTTTTATTGAGGCGCCAGTGCAGTGGCGCAATCTTGGCTCACTGCAACCTCCGCCTCCCGGGTTCAAGCAATTCTCCTGCCTCAGCCTCCCGAGTAGCTGGGACTACAAGCGCATGCCACCATGCCCAGCTAATTTTTGTATTTGTAATAAAGATGGGATTTCACCATGTTGGCCAGGATGGTCTCCATCTCTCGACCTCATGATCCGCCCACCTCAGCCTCCCTAAGTGCTGGGATTACATACTCTATTCTTTTCCCTCCTTATCTTCCAGCCTTTTCCTCTATGCTCCAGTTTCCTTGTTGTGTTGCACGGCCTTTTTCTGGTCTCCACAGGCTCTTTACCAAGAGCCCCTTCTGTCCCTTCTGCCGAGTGCTCTTTCATCTTTGTCTTTGTTCCAGCAGCGAGTTAGGCCAGAGACAAATCAAATAGTCCCCAAGATGCTATTATGGTGGGGGTGAGGGGGGGAACTGGACAATTAAAATTTTGTAGAAATTGTTGAACCTTCTTAATACAACATTACAAACTTTAATAGCTGTAAAGTAACTACATTTTTGGTAAATTTAGTGAACTGGTTATTTGAAAGTACTGATGAACAATCCTATATTTACAAAAATGAAAAAGAATGTTTGAAGATAATCAGAAATTTAAGCTAGGAAATTTGCATATGAAACACTAAAATTTTTATTTCTAGGAGAAGTAAACTATCCTATGACTCTTAACTCTTGACAAATAGAATATTTCTTAAAACATTAAAAAATTTAAAACTGTGCTTCTAAATGATTTGTGACCTTAAGAGGAAATTATTATGAATATTAGAAAATAAGAAAACACTGAGACCTGAGTGATATTACATCTGAAAGCTCTCCTTAGAGGGACAAGTCTTAACTGTATGTAGTAGGAAAAAAAGGGAAATTAAAAAATAATGAATTTAACCCAAAGAAAGCAGAAGAAAATATTACAAAGATATTAAATAAAAGTAAATAATATTTGTTAATACGGAAGCTGCTTCATTGAAAAGACAAACTAGCCTGCACAGTGGCTCATACCTGTAATCCCAGCACTTAGGATGCCAAGGCAGGAGGATCACTTGAGCCCAGGAGTTGAAGGCCAGCCTGTTCAACATAGTGATACTCTGGCTGTACAAAACTATTTTTTAAAACCCAAACAGGCTGGGCACGGTGGTACATGCCACATGGTGAAACCCCGTCTCTACTAAATAAAAAAAAAAAAAAAAAAAAAAGAAAAATTAGCTGGGTGTGGTGGCACATGCCTGTAATCAGAGCTACTTGGGAAGCAAGATGGGAGAATCACTTGTACCTGGGAGGTGAAGGTTGCAGTGAGCTGAGATCATGCCATTGCACTCCAGCCTGGGCAATAAGAGGTAAACTCCCTCTCTAAAATAAAATAAAACCCTAACAACTAGCCAGGTAAATGTGTGTGCCTGTAGTCCCAACTACTTGAGAGGCCGAGGTGGAAGGATCACTTAAGTCTGGAAGGTGGAGACTGTAGTGAGCCATGATTGTGCCACTGCACTTCAACCTGGGAGACAGAACGAAACCATGTCAAAAAAATACAACAGCAACAAAAAAACTTGCATAATCAAACAAAAAAAGAAACAGTGCAAAAAACCAATTTTAGGAATGAAAAGCAGAATACCACTATAGTTGCTGAAGGAAATAAGATATTATGAAAAACTTTATGCCAATAAATGGGCCATTTTGTAGAAAAACATAACTTTTCTAAAACTGAAGAACAGGAAAACATGATAGACCTACAATCATGAAATAAATCAATGGTTAATAATCTGTCCCCCAAATTTTAAAAAGCTACAGGAGAGTCGAGAGCATTTACAAATTTCAAGATATTTTCTGCAACCATTGTATGAAAATGGTATTTTATAAGGCTTATATAATTTTGATATCCAAAACATAGGAGAACAAGTTTGGGACAGGAAAATAATAAGCCAGTCTTCAGTTATGAATATATACTTAGATATAATAGTCCTCAATAAGATATCAGCAGGCCAAATATGGTAATTAGTAAAAACAAAACCACTTCTTGATCAAATAGGGCTTATCTCTGTTCCTTAGTAATATGAGAATGGTTAACATTAAACTTACTAATGTTGTTTACCAGGAGAAAAACCTACAAAAGCAAATGTTCAGGAAAAGCATTTGATAAAACTTGAATCAATACATAACAGTTCTCATCACATTAGGCATAAAGTTAATATTCTTCAGCCAATATGGGTGGAAAATAGCATATAGCAGGTATCTTATGGGATGGTATAGTGTCGAGAGCATTTCTGTTAAACTTGTGAAAAAGTTGAGCATTTCAGCTCTAATCACATTCATCAAGTGTTACAGAGGAGGTACTAGATAACCAATACAAAGATTAAGAAATAGAAGCTATAAGAATTGATAAGAAAGAAACAGCTGGCCTTACCAATGATGTATAATTGTCTGCATAAAAATCTGCCAGGAGTAACTGCAGATAAACCATGGGAACTAACAAGATTGTTCAGCGAGGTTGCTGGTTACATGATCAGTATATAAAAACCACTTGCAATTTTGTATAACTAAGCAATAAACAATTAGAAAAGTATGATTTTATTCTAATGATACTTAAACACCATACCTAAGAATAAATCTAATAAATAATTGGTTTTCTTTCTTTCATTCTTGCATTTCTTCTTCTTTTTTATTTTTATTTTTTCGAGACAGCCTCTTGCTCTGTTGCCCAGGCCCTGAGTGCAGTGGTGTGACCACATATCTCACTGAAACCTTGGCTTCCTGGGCTCAAGTGATCCTTCTGCCTCAGTCTCCCAAGTAGCTGGGATTATGGGCATGAACCATTGTGGCTGGCCATCATTCTTACATATCTTAATGGTGGTCAGTCTGTTCTAAGTGGGCACATGTTATTATAACTTACTAAACATCTAAACTTTCTATAGTAAGAGCTGTGGAAACCACCCAATATTTACTTTAAAAGTTGAGTATGTACAAATTATATAAATATGTTATATATTAAGATACTTTTCCAGCCTAACACTTGTTAAGTGTTTACGGGTATTTTGCCCTTTTTTTTGGGGGGGGGGGCGGTCAATGGAGTCTCGCTCTGTCGCCAGGCTAGAGTGCAGTAGCACGATCTCACTGCAGCCTTGCCTCCCAGGTTCAAGCAATTTTTCTGCTTCAGCCTCCCGAGTAGCTGGATTACAGGTGTGCACCAATACACTCAGCTAATTTTTGTATTTTTAGTAGAGATGGGGTCTCACCATGTTGGTCAGGATGGTCCCAAACTCCTGACCTTGTGATCCACCCTCCTCGGCCCCTCAAAGTGCTGGGATATCAGGTGTGAGCCACTGTGCCTGGCCTATGCTTGGGTTTTATATAGAATATCATTCCTGATCTTGAATGAAAGATGCAGTAAAGAATGGGGATGCTAAGCACATAAGCAAATAACAACAGTTAACTGTTTTAATTGTGACAAGTGTAAAATAGAGCACAGTGAGGGCATAAAAGCATTTTTAGTTTGTTGAGAAGATAGGAGAAAGGGTCATGGATGACCTCATAGACAGGATAAGATATTGAGTCAGGTCGCAAGGAAGTGTGGGTGTTT